CTTTTTTTTTTTTTTTTTTTTTTTTTTTTTTTTTATGGGCGGGATTGGGGATTAATCCAATTTAGACGAAATTTTAGCAACTTAAACGGTGCGACGATCAGAGCGCAAGGTAACATACACAGACTACATACTGACGGAGATGATAACGATGAAAATAATACTTGGAATGGCAATTCGACGCAACAAATGTGAATGATTTAGAAATAAAGTAACGATGCGCCGAGAGTACTACTACCAACTATTACTACTATTATCATTACTACTAACAACTTGTTAAAATGACTCTTTCAACTTAATTTTTAATGAGTACCTAGATTTTAATACGATCATGATTAAGTATTATATATATTTCTCTTATATAATATGTTCATTTATTTATATATTTATATTTATACAAATTATATATAAGTATATAAATGAATGTAGTTATTTTTTCTTTTGCCAAAAAAAATAAGTATCCAAATAGTATCAAAACGCGCAAAAGATTAATATATGCGAATGGAAATAAAGTTTATATACGAAATACATTTAATATCTCCATTGTAACAATATTTATGCGAGAAACGTGCATATTTAAATGTTAAGTTTTGTTATCTATCTTGTTCTATTTCTAATTCTATATATATACATGTATATATACATATATATGTATGTATGTATTTAGCTTTGTAATGTTACACTAAAGAATAACATTTCGGCCTAATTATATATGGTATATAAAAAGTGTAGAATGTATCTAAACTATCGAAGAAATGTATAAGGACCAAAAATAGCGAACAGATTATTTCGCAGGTACTGTTGAGATGGTTAGAACTATTGTAATTGATAATGGATTATCCGTATGTATATGTATACATATGTAGTTTGCGCATAATCAATTTCTATAACTGGTGCTAAACAAGAAATTTTGATTATCAGTGTATCTATTTTTCTCTTCGTTCCTTTTTTATTTTTTCTTTTTTTTTTTTCTTTTGTTTCATTTCATTTAGTTGGTGCAATAATCACACCATGATTTATTATATTTACAATTAATGATAAACCACACGAACATCCATTTGCTTGCACGCATACAAATCACATTTTAGAAATTAGATTTAAAGAAAGAAAAAAAAAAGAAAATAAAAAAGCTTGCTAATTAATCTGTAAAAATATTTATGTACTCTTATGACGTTATCTCTTCTATTTTCACTTATTTTTATTATAGTAATTATATCTACTACTATAAATACTATAAGTAGAAACGATTATACTATATGATAATCTATTGTAATAAATTTTCAAAGTAATACGTATATATATATTTATGTATATGCATATGTATATGTATATATATATATATATATATATGTATACAAATATATTAAACTAACTAAAATAAATATAAAATAATGGCAAAAAACCATTTTTATCTGTCAATTTATCTCTCCGACTATAATAAATATATCTGTAATATCTTATTAGCTTCATCACACATGTGTTAATTTTTATTTCTATGTATTTAATTATTATACTATTGTAGATGAGAGTGTTCAATAAACGAATCTTATCTTGTATTTTATGAAGCATTTTTTTTGTTCTGTTTATATATTATCCGTACGTATCGATAATATTTATTTTGTGCACGCGTAAGCGAATACTGATTGAGTACTTAAAATGAATTTGCGAAAAAAGAAGATATATATAATCGTATAATGAAGGGAATGATTAATATCTTTCTTCAAACAGGGGAAGCTCTCGATCGTGACAAAAAATGAAATGAAGCGTTAAATTAAACAACTTTCAATATGAATCAAGTTTCTAATTGTGGATCTCAACTTTCTTCCAGAATTAGACATAACTTCGGCTGTTCTAAGTGTAACGTGATATTTTCAGACACACACCCACCATTTCTACGAGATACCACGTTTCACAAAATAACTTAACCAAAAAGAAAAAAAAAGAAACAAATAAATAAAAAATAGTTGATAATTACAATTGAACAATAATTTTGTTTTTACGTTAAGCTTAAAACTTTTCCCACCACTTCCCTCCCTCTCCGTTCACGTATTTGAATTATTTTATTATTATTATTATTATTAATGAATACAAATAAATATATTTATAATTAAAAAAAATAATTATCGTATAATATGTGTGTAATTTTAGAAATATATGTATAAATTATTTGGCAGATTAAATATGTAAAATTTGATATTTCCAATGAGTTACAATTAAACTTAATTTCATGATAATCATTAACTCGTATATACTAATGAATATTATTATTTATTATATCAATTTTTTTATATTAATTATTTCTTTCCCTTTCTTTTATAGTTCGCAATAGTAAAAGACTAAATTATAGAATCCTATTTCTACAAATGTCGTTAAAATGATACTTTATCGTACAGCTGGTAGGTGCATAAATTGACTCACTTGCACGGTACTATTTAATACGAATCATGCATATCAACAACAAGAGATATTCAAGCTAATAATACATTTTATTTTTCGACTGATTTATTCGATTACTCGTACTATAAACCGATTTGCAAGAATTTCAAATTCAAAGATAAAACGAATGGAAAAGTGTGGTGTCTGTGGGGAAAAGGGAGGGAAGGAAGATTCGAGGTAAAGACTTCTAACATAAAATTAAATGCATTGCGCGTTCATAAAATACAAGGGTAATTCACCAAAATGTGTAATTCCTAAGTTATATGAACAAATGTTTTCGAATCTAAATATCTTGATAATAAAGTGAAATATTTAACTAAATAATTGCTACATTTTGTTTGAGTTTCAACAGAAAAAGAAACTTTTACTTTTTCGAAAATAAAAATCAATTTGACCGACAAAAAAGTACATCGGTATTATGTTATATTGAAAATTGTTCATACAATTCATTCATTTAAGCGTAAATTGTAATTACGCTATTCTTGATATTATACAATTTTCGTTTAAAATATTTTTAATAATAATAATAATGATCTAACGAATAATTCATTAATAATTTAAATGATACACACTTCGAGATCTCAATTATTATTCTATAGAATAAAATATTTTTCTAACAATAAGAGTCATTGATTTAAAATTGAAAATTATTTGAATTATAAGTAATATAATAAAAACTCTAATAATTGATCCTGAACTCATTTAGATTTATTATATTATATGGTGGAAAAAGAATTTATTGACGTATTTACAATGTTGACTAAATCATATTTGCGATGGTTGGTGTCGTAACAACCCTTACTCGAATGTATTTAATTTAGACTAATATTTGTATTTAAAAAAAAGAAAAAACTAATATCAAATTCCGACTAAATGAATACTAAAGTAATCGATATATATATATATAAAATCAAATAGAAAATTTGTACACGAAAGTGAATTTAAATTTACGACGATAATTGATATTATATATATATTTGTGTGTGTGTGTGTGTGAAACGTATGTTAAAATTATAAGTAATAAAACACAATGAAGTAATAAATCGATCCTTAAAATTTGATTAAACGACCTTCTCGGGTGTATAATAGTTGACAGAAATTTATGAGCGGCTCATTACCACCGTTTAGTGGATTCTACTACCGTCGTATTCCTACGAGATCATTAAAACCACCTCTCACTCTCTCACTCTCTTATTCTTCCTTTTATTTTATTTTCATTCTCTTTTTGGAAGAAACCCACGTGCTTGCCAAGTTACGCCCAAGTTAACTTGCTATTGGTTAATCTTACGATGACGTTGTGAGCACGTGGCTTTTTGACACCGCCTTGGAGAACCGCCGAAGAATTTGACTACTACTTCTTGGCCGCCAAGAAAGAGAAAGAGAAAGAGAATAAAAAAAGAAAAAAAAAAAAAAGAAAAAAAAGAGAGAGAGAAAAAAAAAGAAGAAGAGGAAGAAAAAAAAAAAATATATTATCCTCTACACCTCGAACTATCTCGACAAACAGTCGTTTCTGTCGAGTCTAATCTCACGAACGAATCATCCCGCCGCGATCATCGATGATTCAATTTACTTTCGATATTACATTTTTCTAATCATTCATTAATTATATCCTCTGTTTTCCGAAAAAAAAACATTAAATACATGTCAATTGAATAAATGTGTTTTTTTTTGCACATTAAAAATAATTAACAATTGTTTTGTTTTAATTCGATAAAATTTTTGTTTTTTTTTTTTCTGTGGGATATTTAAATAATGAACAAATGTAGAATGATGTTTGGTGATAATATTTGAATATAGTGTTACGTGTGATTATGAAGATTATGGTGATATTTATTTGAATTAGATTTAATTGATATATTTACGCGATCAGTATGATCGAATGTGATATGATTTTTTTAAATGTAAGATAAATGATTTTGTTTATTCATTATGTCGGAAGAACGTACGACGATTGGTTCGGAAACTTCGAAAACTGGAAACAATGCTGTTGATGTTTCTAAAGTTTCGTTTAGTATTGAAAGATTACTTGCACCTATTGTGAAACCCGTCAACGATGAGAATAATTTATTGCAAAGGGCACAGTTTTCTTTGCGCGTTTGCAATTGTAAGTATAACAAATAAAATTATTAATAATAATTTTATGTTTATTTTTATACAAAATTTATAAGCCCTTAAAATATCTTATTTACCATCCTGTATTTAATATTTTAAGTATCGTCGTGTAAAAATACAATTACTTTTAATAATTTATAAATTTTCAATGCAAGTTATACTCGTTATTAGAAAAATATAAATTTGTTATTAATAATTAATGAGATTTAGAAAAGAAAATAATTTTAATACACATTATTAATATTTGATATTTAAAATAATATATTAATATGATATTAAATATTTTTTATATAATATTATTAAATAGATAATTTTTTACTTTAAATATAATATCTCACACAAATATTGTTGTTAAGAAATTGGATATTTGTTTGAATTAAACAGCAAACGATTCAAAAATCAACTTTTTTTCTTGTTACTTCTATCACATTTTAATATTATATATCAATAATATTTTAAATCTATTTAATATTAAATTTCATTAGAAATATCAAACATTATAATTGTTTAAATGATTTCAATATTTTAATTAACAGCAAATGATTCAGAAACAAAAATATTGGTAAGCCCTGACTCGTCGGTTTCAATGGCGGAAGAAATTGAGCTTGATGATACTGATATGGTTTGTTCTACTTCACCTGAACCAGAAATGTGTTATGGTACGTATCCAATTGTTATCTTAAATATTAATCAACGATTATTTCGTATAATCATAATTATCAATATTTTTCATTTAACTTATTTTTCTTTCCCCTTTAACGTCTTCCACTCGTTTTGATTTTCTCATTAGTTTTGATATGATGTTCTAAATATTCGTTTTATATATTTGACGTCATGTTATTTGGCTAATAAAATCTTTTCGAAACAAGTAGGAAATTAATGTATACGCAGATGGTAAACACTTGTGTCTACCTTGTTAAATCAGCGATGTAATGAAGACATATTGAGAAAAGATGATGACGATGACGATGATGATGATGATGATGAACGTGTAGATTTTTTAAAGGAAAAAAAAGAAAAAGAAAGGTCAACTTTTAATTAAACAAATTGAATAAATTGTTTAAATCGATATTGAAATTATTATCTTATCAGTATTATATCTAGAAATACATTTATCGATTTACGATTCATTATCAGTTTTTAAATGGCATTTAATTATTATTATTCTCTTCGTTTTTCTTTTTTTTTTTTTTTTGAGCATACTTAAATGATTATAATTTTATGCTCGATATATTATTTTGTTCAAACAAAAGTGAATTCACTTTAAATGTTTGCACATGAATAATTATATTTCGTTTTATTTTCAATAGTAAAGAAATAAACAACTATATCGAATGTTTTGAAAATGGTGGATGTTACTTAGAACATCTCAATTAACTTAGGTGACCAAGTAATTGATACTAAATTCAAAGTTATCGTTCTTCTAGTAACGAATACGTAAGGTTAGTAAAAAGGAACATGGTTTCACGAGTTTGATCCATTACTTCCTGTGGGCTCCACGCCCACTCAATGTTCCTACTTCTCGTCCACTATTTATCTGTCTCCTGCTAATTCTGCCATGGAAATGCAACTATACTTGAATACCTAACATACGCGTATATCCACAAAAATACAAAAAAGAAACAAATAAATAAATAAATGAATAAACGAGTATCCATGGATTCTTAAATCAGCCATTTTGGTTACTAATTCAATTCGAATTCTATCGGCGAAGGAAAATTATTTTTTACATTTAATATATTAAGAGATAAAATTGTAAGATGAATTTTTCATCGTATATTCTTGGAAGATAATATTTAATATTTTACACGTACACGGATAAAAATCAAACGAGTATTCGTGAAATCTTAAGTCGGCCATATTGGTTGCAAATTCAATTCGAATTCTCTATCGATGAAACAAATTTATTTTATATTATTATGAAAATAACATTGTTTAATATTTTTCATTGAATATATTTCGTGAATAAAATAACAATGGATAACAATCGTATATTTAAGATTCAATACTTCACACGCGTAAATATAAAAACAAATCATACGAGTATCCGTAAATTCTTAAGTCAGCCATATATTGACGATTGCAAACAACAATTCTAATCTTATCGAATGAAAAACAAAATATTATAAACACGAATACTATTTGTTTAGAAAATATATTTCAATGCTGTCGGAACGATGAAGAAACAATTGGTTGATTGCTTTTTTTTTTTCTTTTTCTTAAAATATATTTCAAATTCAATCGATGAACGAACGAACGGACACAATATATCATTCAATCAATTATATTAATTATATTCTCATTTTATATATCTTAAATAAAAAAAACATATTCTCAAAAGAATAAAAATAACGAGTCGAATATTTCCAATGTAATTTTAGTTGGCAATAAAATGACAAAAGATTATGGTTGAACGTTTAAAGTATAATTAATAAGATGGTTTAGCAGCAAGACCCTCCTCTTGGTAGCATATTCATACGAGAAACTTTAAAGTCGACTAATTTCTACCCGAATTGTGCCGTTTCTCGTGATTTACATGGCGTAATGCTCGGCACAATAAATTCGAGATCTAAGGAAAGGACAATTCTCGTTTGCGCCATGAGCTTCGACTGAGATATGTGGGACGTCGACGTTCAACCACAAAGCCGTCAACGTTATACGTAAATCTTAAACGAGAACAACTCGAAGAAACGCGAAAGAGAGAATAACTATCCCTCTTTCATGCTGGCCAAAAAATTAATTTCCATATTATTCTTTTTTCTTTTCTTTTTGTTAACCAACAAAATATATATTTCGATATCGCAATAATTTTCTTTCATTTTCACTTGTTCTTTTTCTTTATATTTCTATGATTATTAAATTAAAAGAATTTCTTTTTCATTTAAGAAAAATACAAGGAAAACCGTACGTCATCATCGAACGTCAATAATTAATTATCGAATTTAAATGATTGCCAAGATTATAAATCTAAATAGAAAAGAAATGAAAATTTATGATATTATTTTATTAAAATCGATGCGCGTGTGTTTGCACGTTTCTTACGATTAATTTCAAATGTTCAAGTACTCGAAGAAATAATATATTAAACGAACGTTCAACGGATGAATAATTAATGATACTTTTTATTTAAAAAACAAACATTACGCGAGTCAAGATATAATATAATTTTTTGTTCATCCTATTAATTATGAAATTAATTAACCTTGTGTGTCTCTGCGTTGTTCGCACGAATCGCGAAAATTAGGCAAAACTTTATTATTGCGTATTTTTCACATTTAACAACAATTCTAATGTCATTTATCACCGAATAATTAGAAGACAAGTTCACCGTGGCTCGCAGCAATTAGGTAAACTAGAAGGCGTGGTGTTCTATTTCCGCGACGTTCTTCTCTCTTCTCCGAGTCTTTTATATTTATTTCCATTTTCTTTTCTTTTTTACTTCTTTTTTGTAAGATTTCTTTCGTTAGTCTTAAGAGTATCTTTTTTGCAGCCGTTTATCTCATCTCAGTTTGGTCCCCTCGACAACCCTTTTCTTACTTCCTCCTCCTTTTCTTCATCTTCTTCTTCTTCTTCTTCTTCTTAGAGCTCGTTCGTCAATGCAACCGAGTCAGAAACTTGACGACAAATGAGCCAAACGTGTTTCTTTCTCCTCTTATACACTAGGGAAAGTACTTCTTCTCTGATATCACACACATATATACATATATATATATATATATACAAATGTATAGGAGAGTTAGAAATGTGATTTGATACTCTCTCAAACATATACACATATACACATACAGAGTACGAATGCAATTTCGTACGAACTTTCAAGCGAATCAAAGACACGGGTACGATTTTAGCCGCGGAATGACTCCGTCCAGTTTCTACAACATGCCTGAGTTCGAAGTTCTCGAGAAACATGCGAGAAACGCGACAATTACGTCCCCCCATCTGACAATTAGTACCCGGTTAACGTTAACTACGATTTTTTTTTTTAAACCCCCGATTTTTCTTTTATCTTCTTTTTGTTTAAACGAAATATTTATTACCCATCTCAAAAGCAACCGATCTAATCTAATTTTAAATAATTTAAGAGATGGCACGTGTCTTCTTATAAAATCCTTCAACGGTTTACTATTAAATATTATTTATTATAACTTTTAAACAATTTATTTCTGATTTCATCAATTATAGTGTCTACCGTCTAACAAAAATTATAGATAATTCTTTTAAAAATTTTTAACGAGTATATATTCTGATATTAATACAAGAAAAGAGTACTTGTAATCGGTTATTATTTTTTCCTATTTTATTTATTAATCATTTGGCAATATCTAATAAAATGTATTATTTATCAAAGACTCTATTACTCTACAACAAAAATTATAAACATTACAAAAAGAATTCTGCACAGTATTGAAATTAATAATCGCAAGTACGTAAAGATTAAAAAAAAGAAATATTTATTATATCAATTTGGACAAATTCGATCGGATTTCTCGATTATCAATGTATCTGTTATTTAAAAATTATAAACAATATCATCGTATATAAATAATACGGATATTAACGCGAAATGTGTTAAACTATTGGATACATAAAAGACGGTTTTACGTCGGATGACGAATGGGCAGATAATTAGAAGATGATCCTCACCGTTTAAAAGCTCACAGACTTGTTACCAGAATACTAAAAGAGAACTTGGAAGACATTCCTCATGGTTAAACCGTGAGACTTGTCTTGTACCACCGTCTTGTAATTTCAGATAAGTATAAATATAAACAAGTTTGTGGGATATAAAGTTTCAAGATTAATGAGTGTAAGGCAATTTTAGGGTAGTTAATTGGAAAGATTAACGATGAACTGCAAACACCCACTCTTAACCCAACCCCTAACCACTAACCCTCCACCCACTTTTTTTTCCTAACCTATCAACATTTTCCAAAATATTTTAATAATACGAAACATATTCGAGAATATTGATTATCTGATCGAAATTGACCGATTGATCCCCTTAATTTGTTAACAGAAGCGTGTACAAGTAGCAGCGGTGCCAATTCTACGACAGGTGTAGAAAGGGAAATTCAAGAAAGAACTGCCAACGCGATTAGCGACGATGAGAGGAAAAAAAGACCGCGTACTGCGTTCACAGCTGCACAAATAAAATCATTAGAAGCTGAATTTGAGAGGAACAAGTATCTAAGCGTTGCGAAAAGATTGCAACTTAGCAAGACTTTGAAATTAACTGAAACTCAGGTAAATGTTGCCTTTTTTTTTTTATTTCTTCGTTTTTATAATATAACAAAATATGTATAACACGCGTGTAAAATATGTGTGTGTGTGTGTGTGTTGTAGATAAATTTTGAAAAAGTTGTGTGATTAAGAAAATAAAAATATTTTCCAATTTACAGACAGGATATTCTAACCAATAAATCGCAATAATGTCTCCACCAACTTCCTCAGAGTACGTCACCTGAAATAGTTTAACTTACACGCATCCAAAGTTCTTTCTAAGGAATCAACTTGACTCTAAATTATTAGTTAGTAGTTTTAGTCACGGACCATATGTGTTTAGGCGCCGATAGAATGGCGCCAAGAGGGAGGATTGCCCTTTAAGACCAATTAGCACTTATCCACCCTTCTTCTTCCTTTCATTCACCTAACGAAGAAAGTGAATATGTTTTTCTACAAACTTTTTTCTTCATTTCCAAGAAAGTAATATTCTTCGATGAAAATCCTTAGTCGAAAGAGTTTAAATCATGATTTTAACAATTAAAATATCAAATCGAATCTATTTCTTATTAAAAAATACTCTCCGATCATTTATATTCAAATTATATCGATCATATACTTTTAAAAAATACTGAAAATAAATTCGAAAGAAAAATCGTTGAAAAATTATGCACCCAACTCAAATGAAATATATGTCTAATAATCGTACAATCATCGAAGATCAAAATATTTCTAAATTGAATCTAAAACGTTAGCAAACAATTATCCACGATATACATTGTTCACATAAATATCGATCATATATAATATATTATATTTGTGAAAATAATAATAATTAGAAAATAAAATAAAATGAAATCAATTGTCTCTTACGAGACGATCCCAAAAATAATAATTAGATGAGGAAGTGTTGCACGTAGAAGAGTATCTCAAACAAAATATCCGGTGACTCGATAATTGTTGTTGAAAGAGGTCGAAATATTCATACACGAGATCTAGAACGGGACGGATAATTATCCGGAGGATCAGGAGAAAAAGGGGAAGACGATCAGACGACGGATCAGAGGGAAGAAGAAGAAGAAGAAGGAGACGTGTCGTACCGCGGACGTAACTGTCACAATATTTCTCAGAGTTAACGAGCCAGCACCGAGTTGCTCCCCTTCTTCTTCTTCTTCTTCTTCATCTTACTCTCTTACTCTTTCTGTCTTTCTTGATCTCTTGCTTTGACTTTATCTTTCTCGTGCAAGCACGATGTTACATAGAACGTTCGTTCCATCGTTTCTTAGCCTTTTCTTCAAGTAAACGTACAGCAAACCGACGGATGCTGTGCGCCATCCGAGGCGACGGACCGGAGAGGCGTCGATTTTTTAATTAGGATATATTACCAACCGAATGTCACGTTTTAAACGGACTGCTACTTCTAAAGATTTCTTCATGAGGGAAATTATCCTCCTGTTTTTCTTCTTCTTCTTTTGTTTTTTTAGATTAATTTTCTTTAATCTTATTTTACATTACTTATATACTTCTAACGGTGTTTCTTTTCTGATAATTTTACATAGTTAAATATATATTTTCTAAGGGTGGTTGTTGGTATTTTACATTTTATATTTCAAACAAAGCAACCCTCGAATCAACTGGGAATACATTTTCTACAAAATAATCCGGTTTGTTTTTTGGAATACTTCCTTTGTTGAATATTCTCTTAGGTTAGCTTCGTAAATATTTCGTATCGGTAATATATAAAATTTATTTGGAAAAAAAAATCAAACTACGATCAACCTCGATATTTCAATACTTTTTTTTTATCAATTAATCTTTTGTCATATCTGTACAAATTCTTTTTAGCAACTTAAACCCTTTAGTGTAGGTTTCATCATAACTTTTATAACTGCTAATACTTGGGATATTCAATGTATATAATCTATGTATATAGATTATCTGACTATAAAGAAACAGGGGTGTTTTAAATTTTCACCCTTACTCACTTTCCAAAGATGCTATTTGCACCTGGTTGAAAGAAGACCACTTCTTGGCCTGTGGACGCAGTTTAATGTCATGCCCGGGACACCTAGTTATATATAAAACAAAGCTCGATTACTTCGAAGCTTTTTTTTATATAAAATTCATCTCATCAGATGAAAATGAAAAGAACAGTTCATAACTATTATTATTTGAAATATTTTAAACCGATAATTACTTGATCTATGAATGTTATTTTCAATTATAAATTATATTGTACTATTATTTTTTAAAATATTATTCATCTAATGAAATGAACGTGAAGGGATTCTCACAAGAGCCTCGGTAGCGCAGTAGGCAGCGCGTAAGTCTCATAATCTTAAGGTCGTGAGTTCGATCCTCACCCGGGGCAATACTTTTTCTTTTGCTACCCTTTACCATCAGTAGGGTAGCAAAGATTTTCTAAGTTTTAATATTAGGTCTCACCAGACGAAAATAAAATAAACCATTCGGCTATCATTTCCAACAGCCTCGGTAGCGCAGTAGGTAGCGCGTAAGTCTCATAATCTTAAGGTCGTGAGTTCGATCCTCACCCGGGGCATATTTTTTTTCGTATGTCCATTAATTTTACAAATTTTTTTATATTTACAGATTAAAATATGGTTTCAAAATAGGCGAACCAAATGGAAGAGAAAATATACTAATGACGTAGAATTATTGGCGCAACAATATTACTCGAGTTTGGGTATACCTGCACCCAGGCCAATTTTTGTTGGAGATCGTTTATGGTAAATTGAGTTCTTTTTTCTAAATAAATGAATTTAACAAAATCTAATACAAAATACAAATGAAAGGATATTTTTGTTTACAGGTTTTTTAATTATCCAACACAATCTCAACCAAACGCTACATTTTTTCCCCAACATTTGACGCCAATGCCTTTACCACCAGCTTTACCAATCGTACAACCGTTACCCAGTAATTTACAAACTGGACAACAATCTACAATTTTTCATAATATTCCTTTAAGTCATCCCACGCATCATCTTACTCAGAGATTAGATTTTAGGCATCAGGAACCTTAAGTTAAATTTATTAATTATTATATTAAAGAGGTGAAATGTGTGTGCATGTGTACAGAAATTGTTCATTAGAAAATTGATATCGCGGTGTTATCCTTTTTATAATTGCATTTATAGTAAGAATATATGAACATAAAAAAATAAACAAAAATAATCAAATTAGAATAATTACAGTATATGCATAGGTATAAAAAAAAAAACAGAATAATACTTTAATCAAAATCCAAGAAGTACAGGTATTTCATTATTTTATATTTGTAAATAATTATATAAATATCTTAAACAAATTATTCCGGAGAAGATTGCTAATGATGAATACCTATACAAATTTATAATTCATAAAGCAGATGGAGAAGATAACATTTTATTAACACCTAAAGTTTTTTCATCATGAGCCGCTTGGTCCTGTATAATTTTGGCATACTTTTCATCGTCTTGTAGATCCTCTTCTAGCAACATTTCTTGCATTCTTTGCTTGTATCTGTGAAGAAATTATTTTATACAAAAACATATTTTCAAACGTCGACGATTGAAAATAAATTACTCACATCTCGCTGTCTGGATTATTTTCTTGATTTCTACATTTGTCTAATTTTTTTTCTATCGCTCTTACAACATCACGCGATGGTGGTTCTACGCATTTAGCCATTGATCTTATTTCTACAATATTTACACGCAACGATACGTTATTTTATTCTATTACATTTAACTATACGATGAAATATTATTGATTATTTTACAACTTACTTCTAACCGCTTCTATTATGCCTCCTAATTGTTCGCTTGAAAATAATGTATCAGTAACATAATTGTCTAAATTTGCTGATGCTCTGGATGCTGCGTGCAAAGTCGCAGCTAATGCGACTTGACTCGGTGCATAAATTAAAACACTGTCCGTTAAAAAAACTCTTTCTAAAAATTCGTCTATGTGTGGCCTCAATTTTTCTGGATTCTCTAACGAAGTATAACGAGTCTACAAGTTACAACATAATGTGTTAGCAAACACATCTATAAACTATTATCAGCGATGAAAAATCAGTACACCTTAATATCTATCATTAATCCTTCGACAGGCCTGAACGGATTGTGAATTGTTAAATTGTAATTTAATTGTTGCATGAGTAACAATTCATTGTTAAGAATAATGTCTGATGCTTTTTCTCTGTCGCCCTTAATATTAGCAACAAATTGAGATATTGAAACATTAAATTCTTCTACCTGTAAAAATGACAACGTTACATCGTACAATCTTAATTGTCTTCTATATAATACTAATTTGATTACGATACAAAATGATAATAACTTTACAAGCTAAGTATACGCATGTGACCAATATCTCCTTTGGATGATAATCCATTACGCTGTTTCTCAAATAAAATCTCTTGAAATAATGCAGCGCAGTAGCGACGGTAGCTTTGGGCATTGGAGGTGTAAAGCGACGACAGAAATCACGCAATTGTAATTCATAAAATCTAAGTAGTGTACGCTCTTCGTTGTCTGAGAGAAAATGTGCTTCTCTTTCTTGTGGCTTTGTAATGATGAAATAAAAATATACAAGATATTCTATACATTAAAAAAAATATGAAATACATGTTAATATTAATACTATCTACGAGTTCTGTTTTATCGACAGACTCAAACGTAAACATGACATTATTACAGTATTACGGAATTTTAACGCTAAACTGTTAGTTTGTATTTAGGTTTCAACGATGACATTTTTAATTAACGGTTTGAACATTAAATAATTTTTATTAGTAAAATGTACACCCAAAATTTGTATAATGTATCGCATGGAAATAAGAAGGATTAAGATTTTGCAATGAGGTTAGAAATGATAGACAATACAATACGAATAATCATAATTAATATAACACGATTATTTCTAACAAATAATTAAAACTTACAGACATATTGACACCATGTTTATTGATGAATTCCGTATTAGTTTTTTCTCTTAACGCAGTTAATTCATTTTCATCTCTAAACATCCAAAATCTTTTTTGCGAACTTTGAGGAAACATTCTTTAAGATTAAGGCAAAAAAACAAAAGAAAAAATAAATTCGAATGAAATTAAATAAAAATGTATAAAAATAATTGACGACGCCGACAGGTGTTACACGTGCAAGCTCAAGAAGTACTAAGTGTTTCCATGAACAACTACCTAGAGGGCAGCACTGCTCATTGTTTCGAGCTTTTACATATCGATATAATCGATAACTGCATCTTCACTTTACAAATGAAATTGTTTTAAATAATAATATAAAATTGTTCGGAAAATTTGTAATAAACTTATAAAAAGAAAACGTATTGTTAAAGCGATAAAAGTGTTTCTTTTAAATTTAATTTTTTTAATCGCCAACAATTGTTCATGTAACCTAAAAAATAAAATAAAAATGAAGCTATTGATAGATTAAATTGAATCTTATTAATAGAATACAATTAATGATTAAAAAATATTTAAGTGAAAATATAAGACACAAAAAGCGATAAATATTAATGAATAATATAAAAATAATATAATGTTAAATAATAGTTGGTAAAAAAGAAGAGAAAAAAAAAGAATTAGGAAGGATGAACGAATACGATGTTTTCTGGCAAACTGGCCGCCTACGCAACGGTAATAAACAAGATCGGCGACAGGAAGAGAGAAAAAGAAAGAAAGTAAGAAAGAGAGAGAGAGAGAGAGAGAGAGAGAGAGAGAGAGAGAGATATGGTGGAACGAGGTAGAGCCGATTTTAATATGGACGCCTCCCCCAAGCGGTTGCACGTCCGATCTGAAGGGGCGTTCCAACGACCCTTTGTCAACCGACAACGCCGCTGCATCTTATCACGATCGAGACTTGGGATCTACCCGTTTTGCTTCTCCACCTCGTTTCTGAACCCTTAGGCCATCGTTGGCCGTTCGAGCTGCCGCTCGTTCTAAGAGTACTTACAGACCTCACCCATAACTCTTCCTCAATATTTTTTTTTCCATTCTTTTTATCCTTTTTCTTTTTGTTTTGTTTTTTTTTTCTTATTACAGGCTAGTTTACGTTGCTTTCACGTTAGAGGTACTTACACGACTCCTTCCGTTGTTGTCCTCGGTAATGTATCCGAGACTTGGAATATATTGATTTGATCAATCTTATGATCATTGTCGGATCTTAAGTTTTCTTTGGTAGATGATATCCAACTAACATTCACTTTACTTACTGTATTTATCATATTATCTTACATCAGTACAAATCATAAACGGTTAATAGCATAAGGAATCAATGTGTAATTTATTTATTCCTTCCTTCCTTCCTATGAATTTGATTTTTAAATCAACTACTGTTGTACTCAAATATTTTCTATTTCTTTATTTTTAGGTTAGATTTTTTGTCGTTTTATTTCATAGTAATAACGTGATAATTTGTTAAGCAAATTAGGATACATGTACACAGATCTGTGTGGTATGCATATTGGTATTATACTTAGATATATAACTATACGAAACCCTGGCGGTTTCACTTCCGCCGAAATCCAAGAAAGGAAGGAAAGATATGGGCTATCCCCGAAAGTGAAGTACATCCGCCATTAATCTAACATTGCGGTTAGCAGCACCCTCGAAAAGTTCGCGTGTTCCACCACCCTTTCCCTTTTATACCAAAGACACGCACGTATGCGAGTACACTCTCTCTTTCTCTCTCTTTCTTTCTCTCGTATTATTCTCTCTATATACATACACCCACGTTTCCCAATAATCGCGTTTGCCGTAAGGAAAAGGGAAGTCAAATGGTTTACTCGCCTCGTCCTAATGCAAAATCAATATTCAACTTGGGCTACCGAGGTGTGACGGATTAAAGTGGATTACTTTCGGCGTGTTATCCAACTTGCTTACTTCGTCGTAATCAAGAATGACTTTCTCCTATACGAATGAACAACCCTCTTTCTTTAACGTCTGACAAATTACCTGGCTAACTGAACAGACATATTTTTACTTTGGTTTACAACATTCAATGTATACTGATTTCTGATACGTTCTAGACATGACTAATGATTATTTTTTCTTTCTTTCTTTCTTTCTTTCCTAACGAGATTTGATCAATATCAATATTTTTATTAATACCTTCATGCTGAAAATAAAATGAATTTAATGAATTTTTAAGAAGGAAGAATATTTTGATTTTACTTTGGTCTGAACCTGTAGCATTTGTGAAAGAACTTTCATGAAATACGTACGTGACCTAGTACATATTGCATGACCGTTAACCATGCTATAGTGGTATCGTCGTTGGTTAACCCGCAAAAAGCGGTATCACGCCTGATTTTAACACTCCTCGGGGCTTTGGCTTTGGCTTGACTGCTTTTCTCACTGCACGCAAACCTTCCGTGGTCAAAACGTCACGTGGCCTGTTCCTCATATGTCAGGACCTTTTGTGTTTCTCTATTGTACTTTTACCTGTATGCAAATCAATTTCTCATGTTTCATCACGTTCATGTAAATGGATCAAATATTTAACCAATTCGTAGGTATTGGAATACATCATATATCTAATTGTACACAGTTTAGATCAATATTTTGTAAATTTGCAATTTTATAATTTGATAGAGAATAAGAAAAAAAAGAAAAAAATATTGAAGAAAAGATCAAAATTGATTTTCAAAACGTTATTTCTAATAACTTTTGATCAACCCTGTACTTGTTTCTCCCTGTTGCTACCAGTTTTGATAGTTCGATAATCTAAAGTTGTTTGATAAATCATTATCGACAATCAAACGATTCGAAACTCACGAGTCTCTACATTCACATGTAGAAGAAAGACAAAGGTAGACAAATAAAATAAAATAAAATAAAGTAAAATAATAATAATAATAATAATAAGAAGAAGAAGAAGAAGAGTAGAGTCTGAAGAAGTTCGGGTGCAAAGTTAGCCAGAGGCATAAACGAAGAGAAAGATCAGCAAGCAGTGAAAAAAAAGATACACACAAAGAGAGTGAGAGAGAAAGAATAAGAATAAAAATAAAAATAAAAATAAAAAACAAGAAGAAAAAGAAAAAAAGAAGAAGAAGAAGACAGCTAGTACCAAGGAAAGTCGAGATGGAAGAAAGAGACAGCAACGAGGT